GCTTTTTGTTACCGAGATCTCTCTTGATAATGAAAGGGAACCCAACGGTCCTGCCTGGTGTTGATCACACGGTTTGGGGCCCGGCCTGACAGGCAGACAAGCCCCAGTCTGCCTGCCTCGAACAACAGAATCTGTAACAAGCTGTAATTACTGATTCTATTCTGGTTAAAGGTCTTTCTTTTCTTCTCTCCTCCGCCTCGTTCTTCTCCTTGTTCTCCGCGTGGCGTCAGTGCCCTTATCGGCGGCGAGCGCGAAAGCGGGACACGATTCGTGGCAAACAATCAGAAGTTCCAGAAAGAGGCGGGAGGCGGGCGTGGCGACGGGAGGCCGTCGCCACGGGAACAGATGTCCACGATCGATAAATGCAAAGCAGAACTGAGAGGGACCGAGGATGTGGAGAATACTTCAGAGCATCTCTGGAAGCTTCACCACACTCATCCTTCAGCTCTATGGAACGGACACCCCTACAGGTATGACCTCGGGAAGTGGTAGAAGCGTGGCACTGCTCACTGGCTGCTCAAGTTCCCAAGGAAACCCCAAGATGACACACTGGCACTTCCCACTCGCAGCGAACTTACAGTGGACCATCCGGAAAGCGGCACAGTTACGGAGAGACCGGCCTGCTTTGGAATATGCTGCAAATATTTGTGAGAGGTGTTTAGAAGTTCCTGATGTAAGTGCAGAGTACGAATGGAGCACCCTGACCTCCACAGAAAAGTATCCCCACATCCTGACCACACAAAGGTGCTACTGGAGTCACCTCGGTAGCCATGGTTACTCTGCTGAAAGGACCGGAACACTAGGCCAGGCATGTGTGTGAAGGCAGGAGTTCGCCAAGTAATAGCGCCCCGAGAACGTTCCGGATGGTACCTACCTTCCTGCACTGCCTGGAAGGGGTTGTTCCCGTCCACGAACTCCACAGAGATAGTGATCTTCTCCGTCTCCAGGATCTCATTGTTGAGGTTCAGGTCAGCCACCGCCATGCGGAACACCTCATCGTCCTTCTTGGCCGACTCGTCGAAAATGGCCCCTGCGGACAAATGAATGCAGCCAGTGTCAGGTGAGGAGACCTCGTAGGTCACATGCCGAAAATCTAACACCATCATCATCACTCACATATCCACCCCGCCCACCAGCAGAAAACTGAGAAGCTGAGCTGACATCAAGTCAAATTACAAAGGCTTTCTACAAAAAACATTCCTTTCTCTATGTCACAATACTATTTAATTTCCTTTTTCTGAATTGAATACTTGTCCTGCTTTGTTCTTTCAGAGTCAGCACACCTTAGATTGAGGTGTATTTCAGAAGAACATGCTGTTCTATTTTCAGGACGTACGCCGGTTCTCAGCTCATCCAAACGTTTCACTCCCATCTGAGTAAGCAGCAAATCCCCTGAAGGTGCGCGATGGGATGTTCCTCCATCCCCGCCTCCGTCCATCAGGGTCATCACTGAACATGACCAGCTAGTGCGCAGGGTGAAACAGCTGACACCACAAACAGCCATTTCCACAAAGAAACCGCATGATATTGAAACAGCAATCGGAACATTTAATAGGTGTTTATCAGGCAGCAGTCAATTAGCTAAGGCATAGTAGTCTGATTTCTTTTCAGCGGATAAGAGGGAACTGAGCTAAAGAAAGAGTAATTACAAGGTATTTTACGCCCCAAATTAATCCACACTTCTCTGATGACCCGACGGGATGGAATAAACGTCTTAATGGATTCGATAAATATTCATCGCGGCTTCATCACAGCCCGCGTTCGCGGCAATCTTCTCACAACCCCCGTAACTCTGCACGAGTGGGAGGAACCGAAACGATCATCTGACCGGGGAGCGTAATGGGGCAAAGGAACACAAAAAAATGCAGCATGGGCAGAATCGACAGCGTGGAGACTCTCGCATCCAGGTTATGGTGGGGAAAGGCTCTGCAAGAGGTTTGCTTTCGACATCTGCTCTCCCTGTCTGACCAAAGTCAATAGCTGAATATAAAGCCTCCCCAGCACGGTCACGCAGCCCCCGGGAGGCCAGGCTGCACCCCCGGTCTCCAGGGAAAAGCCCTCACTCATTACTTACTGATTAATTAGTGATTAAGCTAGGCACTCCTTTGAAATAATTAAGGCCATTGTTGTTTTAATGTTATATACCTGGGGCTGGTGGAGGCTGGGCTGCAGGGTCAAGGTCGGTCCCAGGCCGGCCTCTAACTGATAAAGCATTTAAGGGCTGAAAGCACTTCCGCCCCCTAATGGCCCCCTACCTGTAATTTTGCTGCAGCTGCCCACTCCCATTGCTTTTCCTAGGGAGAGTTGAGTAGCAGCATGTCAGCCTGTGGCTCCCACCTTCACCAGTCCGCCCCCCCTCCCCAAAGCCCACTGTGCCAATTAGACACATTAATCATTCATTCGTCCAGAGGCCTTGCAGAGCTGCTCACGTGTGTTGTAGGTCACACCTTACGGAGAAACGGCGGAGAAGGTGGCCGGCGAGCGTGACGGCCCCCGTTCTCCGGGCCCCCACACTTTCCTCACAGTTACGCACCAGACCGGCGAGTTACACGCTAAGCAAATTTCCAAAGGTGGAGTTAAGCCAATGAATGAACATGAACATGCACAGGACATATCCCAGAGGTACAGGTCAAAGTGTCATACCAAGTGTGAGAGAGCATGACACCCACCACCACTGGAATACAAGGCCCGGCTGTAGAAATCTCTCACCTAACAAATTAGTCTGACATGGGGGATGGAGGGGGGGTTACTTTACCTCATTTAATGAGGACCCATTTTACCTTTCTGCGAGTGTGTCATACTTAATTCCAAAAGATTGAATTCAACCACAACTAATTTGTCCTCACGCAGAGACGCTTATGGGGTGATGTAATTATGCAAGGGTTAATTGATTTCCAGCGTAATTAACATATTCTTATAGTTCCCCTGTAAACCTTTCATTCAGACATTCCGGTGCTTCGTTTTTGGACAAAGCGCTGTGGGTCAGAAGGGGGTGCGACCCGATTGGCTGCTTTTAGGGGTCAGAGGCAGAGGGTCCACATCCTGCTTACTTTAAAGTCCAACACGTCGCAGGCCTGCATTTTGGCCACCAGTGTCAAACAGGCCACAAACGGTGTGGCGAGGAGCCGCCTTATGTAACTGAAGCTCCTCTGATGCACTAATGTCATTATCTCAGCGTGTGACAGACAGGCCACCTAAGGCGATGTTATCGCTGCCCCCAGGAAGCCCGGCAGGACCCCGACGGGAGAAGGAGGCGGCCCCTCTGGGGCCAGAAGCCCAAGCCGCTCTGGAGAAGCTCCACAAAAACATCATAACGGGTCTTTTATCTGAGTCTGCAATTGAGTTGCCATAGAAACAAAATTCAAGGTGGTGTCTTCGGAAAGCGTGTTTCGCGCGGCGAGGGGGCCACAGGTGAGGGGAGCTCAGTCCCACATGTCCGAGACAGCGGCCCACACACATGGGGGCCCCCGTAAGCGTGTGCTTTGTGGCGAGGACCCACGTGTTGCTGTGATGATCAGCCGAGACGTCGGTTTACCTAATGTCAAGGTGTGACACGTCATTCACGTAGCAGGAGCCTCACACCGATGACATGGTTCATTGATTACAGACTGGGAGGATGGAGCTGGAGTCCAACTGGGACGGTCAGTGTGCATGCGTGTGCAGGGGTGTGTGCTAATATGCATGCATGTTTTTATGTGGGTGCGTCTGTGTGCGTGCAGGAGTTTATAATGTGTAAGCATATGTGTGCGGGGGTGTGTATTTATAATGTGAGTGTGTTTACATATGTGACTGAATTATGTGTAGTATTAAGTGTTTGTGTATATACGTCTATGTTTATGTGTGTGTATTACTGTGTGTGTGTGTGTGCATGCGTGTGAGCTTTACAGTGTATTTCTCATGTTGTCTTAGTGTATGTATTTGGGTTATGTATATATTACATCGTGGGGACCAAATGTCCCCACAATGTGATAAAACCCTGTAATTTTTACCTTGACCCACAAGGATATCTTTATATGTAAAAATTGTGCCTGCAATCAAAAAAATTGGCAATAGTCTTGTATTTTGTTTGGATACTTAAGGTTGTCATAGATTACGATTTCTCCCAAAGAAATGAATGGAGAGTCCCCACAAAGATATGAACAGAAATGTGTGTGTGTGTCTGTGTCTGTGTGTCTGTGTTTTACTGTGTTTCTTGTTGCTCTCGTTGCTCAGAGCTCCTGGAACGTGTGGATGAGCCCCCCCCCCCCGTCACCGCCCCCCCCCCCCCCCCACACCCCCGCTCCTATCAGTCCCAGCCCCACATCACTATTGGGGTCTTTTGGACCAGGCTGGGCATGGGGGGTGGAGGCTGCAGCACCTTAACGAGACACTGGGGGGGGCGTGCAGCAGGAGCCGCCACTGCATCAGCACTTTTATAGCCGTCTGCGTGCTGCACCGGTGTAATCTTTCATACCCCCTAAGCTGTTTACAACGACGTGCAGCACTGCACTTAAATTCATGTAATATTTACTGAAGCCAAAGCAGAGGCTTGGCTCTGACCTGAGAGGTCTAAGAAGCGTTCTGCAGCGGGGATCAAAGCCCGCTTCCCTCAGAACAGCACGCAGGCCGACGTTCAGCAGGAGAGCGCACTGAATCTAACTGTGTCAGCCTGTGTCTGTGAGTGTGTGTGGCAGCCTGTGTCTGTGAGTGTGTGTGGCAGCCTGTGTCTGTGAGTGTGTGTGGCAGCCTGCGTGTGTGTGTGTGTGTGTGTGTGAAACAGTGGGATTACACCAGTACAGCCAGTACAGCTAGTGCGCAGAACCCCCGTGTGTGAGGAAGAGCTCCCCCAGGGTGAATAGCAGCCCGCTATGATATTTGCCCTCCGTACACAGAGACACACTCCCACTCACATCTAAGCTAACATTCCTGATGGAGGTTGCCAGCCACATCCCAGAGCAGCGTGTTATATATATGTGTGTGTGTGTATATGTTATGCACATGTGTGTTATATACACATACGTCCTAACACCCTCCACGCACATCTCCCACCCCTCATCATGCGACAGAGGTGTGACCAAAACCGTGACATCGATGTCAAAAAGGAGGACAGAGATGAGCATGAAGATGATGAGGATGCAGACGGTGAGGATGACGACGACAGTGCCTGATACCAGCGGGAATGAAGATGAATTTGCGGACTGGCCCTTGCAGCTCCTTCCCATCTCTAACCCCAACCCTGGATTTACAGTCCAGTGGCGTCCGTGTGGAGGAGGACAGGGATTAACAGGATGAGCCGCCCGTGGAGCAGAGCGCCGTAATGGTCGCTATGATGTGCGATATCGCATCCGCGGCGGGGGGGGGTGTTTGTCACCGTGGCAGCAGCAGCCTGCCACACACTGTCAGCCATTAATAACGGTCAAACATGTAGGCCTGTCAGCCGCTGGGCCTAGCCAATCGCAGGTGGCACCAACATCCAATCACGGCTCCCTCCGCTTCCTCTACCCAGTGCCGACTAAGACTACGAAATTAACGTGGGATCAAAAAGGGGAATCAAAATTTGCCGTTTTTTTGGATGACTGTACTTTTTATGGAAAAACAAGTGAAATGCATGCCTGCCACGCAGAGTGCTGTCTGTCAGCTTGCAGGTCCTGTGGCTCGCCGACCTTCAGTTGCTCATGAGCACCTCACGCTGGCAGGCATGCAGCACGTCCGACCCGCAAGGCGGGCCGTGTGACATCATTCAGACGCACTAACTATGTGAGGCTTAATCAGGCTGTCCCCCGAGCTCACACCTTCCTGTCCTCCTCCTGACACTCTCCTGTCCCCCTCACACACACACACACACACACACACACGTGCATGCACTAACCAAATCCTGCCAAATGGCTCCCCGGAGCCCCCGGAATCTCACCCTCTCTCACCGCAACCTCGCTCCCATGCTGATACCAGCCTTTTGTGTATATAATTCACATATATATCAGGGGTATAAACACAAAGAGGAGTAAATCTGTTTTATGTGCGTGCGGGGGTGAATAACGCTGCCGTAATCTC